TTAACAGGATGCAGACGCAGTTTAACAGGATGCAGACGCAGTTTAACGGAATGCAGACGCAGTTTAATAGAATACAGACGCAGTTTAATAGAATACAGACGTAGTTTAATAGAATACAGACGCAGTTTAATAGGATGCAGACGCAGTTTAATAGGATGCAGACGCAGTTTAATAGAATACAGACGCAGTTTAATAGAATACAGACGCAGTTTAATAGAATACAGACGTAGTTTAATAGAATACAGACGCAGTTTAATAGGATGCAGACGCAGTTTAATAGAATACAGACGTACCTGTGGTAGGATTCCATCTGGTCGTCTGAGTCCACAGACAAACACCTGAGGAGACGAGTTCAGGGTTAAAAAACACATCAATGATTCATTGATAGAAACTATACTGTGATACAACGATGTACAAATACTTCAAGGCCTTCAGTCTAGATACTAATGAAGAAAAAGTACACAATTATTATCAGCTTCATGTAGTTAAAGTATCAACAATAGCACTGATGCTAACAATTAGCACTGATGCTATGTTAGCTCGCCGTAGCGTTAGCAGTACTCACTCATCCAGTTTCTTGGAAATCTCCGCAACGTCGCCGTTATGCTGAAGGACATCCATCCCGACAAAGTGAGCTTCTCACCGGCAGGAAACAACTAAGAAGACTCGGTGTTTTTTCGGAGGAGACAATCCGCGACAAACACTCGTAAATGAGCGAGTTTATTTCACGGTAACGTTGCTGCTGCTGTGTGTTGTTGTGTTTTTTTGAACGGAGCAGCTTCTGGCCCCGCCAAAATGTTTCCAGCGAATCAGAGAGGACGCTGTAGTGACGCGTTAACGCAGTTGTCCAATCGGGAGGCAGGGGAAAAAATACAAGTAGAGTAGGCGGGATCAACAGCACAGCCAATGAGCAGCATTTATTCAGGCCGGAAAGAGAAAGCAGTTCTTCTTCTCTTTCCTTTAAACTGTATTGAAACAAATATACATTACAACGTTTTTTGGGTTAAACTAACGTCTTTTCTGGCAGAAAAACATCGTGTGTAGCCTAAATAATATTAATTTATAATTATAAACATGTACCAGGGGAACTACTGATTGTACAATTCAAAAAATACAATTTCCTACTGTTATACACCCTTGAACATCTTTTCTCTTTTAATATACACTTGGAACTGTAATAACATACTTGTTTTAACGTACTGTTATTTGTTTATCATAGTTTATTGTAATTTTTAATTATGTCTCATATTATTACACTATGTTAATTGTTCATTGTTATGCACCAATCACCTGTTCAAATTCCTTGTATGTGTAACTTGGTGATAAACAGTTCTGGTTCTGGTTCTGTTCTGTTCTCCAGGACTTCATAAAGAACTCTTCTGCCTCTCTTCCTTTTATACACTTTTTCTAAGCTTCTCTTTGTAAAGTAAACATCTGTATTTTGTCTTGTTCTGTTGTTTCCATTGAGCAGATGTGGTATAGTTGCCTCCTAAAGGTGTGTAGCATTCAGAGGCATCTATTAATGAAATATAATGTAATAATCACATGTTTCCATACGTGTTTAATGACCTGAAACTGAACTGGTTTTGTTTTCATTCCCTTAGAATTTTATATAAATTTATAATAATAACAAAATGACTGTGTATTTAATCACAGTAATATTACCCTGTATTTAAACACAATAATATTACCGTGTATTTAATGTGACTAATGTCATAAAGTCTTGATGTCTTCTATATGAAGTTTATTTATTTATTGTTGGTTTGTTTGTTATTTTAATTTATAAATAATAACGTTATTACTGTGTTTAAATGATGTCATAAAGTCATGATGTTACACACTCCGGTACACTAGGTGGCAGCACGCAGCTTAAACGTTGGTTTGTAGTCCACCAATAAACTGAAGAAGAAGAAGAAGAAATCGAGCGCACCTTCTGCTTGTCAACAGCCGGTCACAGTGCGTGCTGAGCGGCCGTATGGCGCCGTGTTTTACGGGAATCAAACCGTGTCGTTACTCGTTTTCTCCGGCTGAGGTTTAGACGAACAACCGATCAAACATGGCTCATCTCTCTCAAAACCCCGCTGACAAAGAGAGGTGAGATCTTGTAGAAGCTAGCCTGTTAGCCTAGCTAAAGCTCTCGAGCTGACGAACCCGTACAGAAGATGTGTGGATTTAAGGAGAACTCTTATTTCTGTGAACATTACTTGCTTTTGTTAGTTTCTGTAACAAACATGTCGATGTTAAAGGGTCGCTCTTCAATTTGGCGTTCATTTAATTTGGGTTTTAGCTTTTAATCGCAACAAAAAAAACGACTTTTTGTTGGTTCACGGTTCATTAAAACCTTCAACGTTGAAGAGAAGTGAGTGATTGTGGGAGTAACGTTAACTAGTTTAACTGTCGTAAACCGAGTTACCTGTTTAGCACTAAAACACTTCAGAGTGACAGTTTGTAATGTGTTTAGATATAAAGACAGGTTTTATGAGGTCTTCTGTAGAAACAGTTTCACGTGTTAAAGTGGTCTGTTTCTACAGGAAGTCTGGTGTGTCGGTGCAGACCTTTAGCATGACGTGGATGAAGGCTCCTTTAACTCAATATATGACGGTTAATTATTGATCCCTCCTTCGTTTTGTTGTGTTCGTTTGACAAATATGTTCGATTTCACAACAGAAACAGAAAATTATAAAACTGGAAAAAGTTCACTTTTATTTTGAACAATGTCATTTTGGAGATGGAATACATTATTTAACCCTTTTAGATCACATCACAGTGATATCGTTTAACAATATACCAAACAAATAATCTACATTTCTTCATGTTTTTAGCTCAAAATCAATCTTTTCTTCTGAAACAGAATGTAAACTGAGCTCATGTATGGATCAATAAGATCATGTCAGTGGATCTGTAACTTTTAGAGACTTCTTCAAAGGTCCAATCGGCTCTGCTGACAAAAGACTAGTCCATGTTTGTGATTGGTCAGATGCTGCAAGCTCCGCCCCCTTATGTTGAAGGCGCTTATAGACACAGATTGACAAACCCCGGTTGATTTAAAGAGTTTAGAACCAGCTCCGTAGGACTGTTTTAACTTGTGTGTGTTGTGTTCCAGGTTCATCTGCGTCTATCCGATCTACATCAACAGTAAGAAGACTCTGGCAGAAGGACGAAGGATCCCAACAGAGAAGGTTCCTCCATCTTTACTGTTTGATTTATCCACCTCTAGACGAGCTGCTGGTTGTTAACAGACGGGTTGGTTTGATTTATCCACCTCTAGACGAGCTGCTGGTGGTTAACAGACGGGATGGTTTGATTTATCCACCTTTAGACGAGCTGCTGGTTGTTAACAGACGGGTTGGTTTGATTTATCCACCTTTAGACGAGCTGCTGGTTGTTAACAGACGGGTTGGTTTGATTTATCCACCTCTAGATGAGCTGCTGGTGGTTAACAGACGGGTTGGTTTGATTTATCCACCTTTAGACGAGCTGTTGCGTAATGTTCTCGTTGTGTCTTTAGGCGGTGGAGAACCCGTCCTGTGCTGAGATCAGAGATGTGCTGACGGCCGCCGGGATGAACGTCTACGTGGAAGTAAGAAGAAGAAGAAGAAGAGAGTCACTCAGTGAAGAAGATAACGTGTATATTTATACATAAAACATGTGTTTTCCAGAACAACAAAATGCACCCCAGAGAGTGGAACAGAGACGTCCAGTTCAGAGGTCGTGTCAGAGTTCAGGTGAAGCAGGAAGATGGAAGCTTCTGTCTGGACAAGTTCACGTCCCGTAAGTCCTCCAGTCTCTGTGAGACGTTATGTCCTAAACAGGAGACAACCTCCTGTTCTTCAAAGCTTCATGTGTTAAAGCTGCATTCTCTCTAGTGTCCA